CTCTCTCTCTCCCTGGTTTTCTTGTCTCCTCCTCCACCACCACCATCACCTCCACAGATCCTCTCTTTCTCGAATCACTTACATTGATTATTTTTCCTCTCATCCCCTTTTTCCTTCTCCTTCTCCTTACCACACGGAACACACACACACCCAAACCCAAGCACACATATGGCTACTACTGAGATTCAACAACAATTCCACTTTGCTCATTGTGTTATTTTTCTATTTATAAACAAATAAAAGCCAAGGTATTTTTTACTAACTAGTGGTGGTGAAAGTGGTGGAGGGGAAGAGGTGCCACTTGGTGGTGGATGGCACTCATTGGCACTGATTCGAATGATGAGGAGCTGAATGGTGGCTGTAGGCCAAGGGGATCACTCGCTTCGAGCTTGTCCTTCTTGGGCAGCAGTGCGAGAAGTTGCTGCAGCAGGTCCAACCAAGAAATCAGGGTGAAAAAGGAAAAAGGAGAGCAAAACGGCGGTGTTCTGCTGATGATGATGAGGAGGAGATGATCTCGCTTCAGTGAACGTCGCACCTGAAGAAGAAGAAGTAGAAGAAGACAAAGCAGTCCATCATCTGCTAGTTTGCTGCTGCTGCTTCTGGGCAGAAAGCAAAGTGCTCTACTGTTCGTTTGTTCGTCTGTTCGCCAGCAGCAACAACAGCAGCGGCAGTGTACCGTTACCTCGAAGTGTCAATGACAATGGAATGGCGCTCTGGAACAGTACCACCACCACCACCACCACCACCACCACCAAGTCGCAGCAGCAGCCGTCGCTGCCACTGCCACGTGTCTTCTTGATTGCCTTCGAGTGGTGGTCGTGGTCGTGGTCGTGGTCGTGGTCGTGGTCGTAGTATCGTCGAAGTGTGAAGAAGTGGTCGTCGTCGAAGAAGGCAAAGAAAGAAAAGAAAGCAGCAGGCTGGCCGAGCTTCCACAGCAGCCTGGTGCGCCCCCTGTGGCCAACTGGCTGTGTTGTGTGTATGTGTACAAAACAGCCAGTGCGAGTAGCCTGCAAAAGAGAACGTCAGTCGTCTGCTTGAGCTCGCCGTCTGAGGATCTCCTCTCCTCTTTCCCCACCTCTCAATACTCTTCAATACTCTTCAACACTCGATCTGGAGTGGTGGCAAACAAACAAAAGCTTTGCAATTCTCGCTTCACCACCAGTCCTTGGAGCACTTTACCATCTCCATCTCCATCACCACCACCACTCTCACCTGTCTGTGTTATTACCAGTCTTCAGTACAGCTGCTGCCAGGCCATCCATCACCCCCATCACCACCACCACTCTCACCTGTCTGTGTTATTACCAGTCTTCAGTACAGCTGCTGCCAGGCCATCCATCACCCCCATCACCACCACCACTCTCACCTGTCTGTGTTATTACCAGTCTTCAGTACAGCTGCTGCCAGGCCATCCATCACCCCCATCACCACCACCACCAGCGCCAACATGTGCGATCCATATGCTGGCTGGTAACCATCACCACCACGGCCACCACCACCATCATGAAGAACTGTGATTGTTGTTGAAGAGCTTTTTCGATTTTAGAAGAAAGAGGTAGCGGTAGAGGTGGCCAGTTTGCATTCAGTACCTGCATCCACATCAAGAGGTTGACCACCACCACCATCATCAAAACAACTTCGACGATTTGTTCTTCCTTTTTCGACTTCCCCCTCTCGTCTTTCTTCAGGCCCATTGCATTCATTTGTGCAATTAGGCAACTTCTTCTTCTTCTCCTCCTCTTCTGATCGGCGATCATCAGCACCGCAGCACACACATACACTCACTCGCTCACTTGCTCAGCTGACGTCGTCGGCCGCGCAGCTGATTGAAGTTTGCTGCTGTTGCTGTTGATGCTCTGCTGTAGAGTATCGGATCGATATTGATCGCGAGACACATCGTCGGCACCATCAGCACCAGCAGCTCAACCCAGCCAATGCTGCCTCATCAACGCACCAGCGGTGTCATCTCTTCTTCTTCTTCTTCTTCTTCTCTTTCTACTCCTTCTCCTTCTTCTCCTCTTTCTCCTTCTTCTTATCATGGAAAGGATGCCCACTCGAGCCTCATCATGTGGTGGTGCCAACAGTGCCGTCAGTGCCTCACTTCGGTGTTCCAGCAGCAGCAGCAACAAAAACAAAAGCATTCCGCCAAGAGAAAAGCACCAAAACTGCCGCAGCCACCGCCGCCAGTCTGGCCACTGTAGAAAAGAAAGAATGTTGTCCACTTGGCCTACAACGACAACAACAACAACAACAACAACTACTCATCATCAACAACGACGACGGTGTACTACTTTTCACCAGCAGCCTCAGCAGCCGCAGCACAGCCACTTTGACGTTCCACAGCTGAAGGAACATCGGCCGACAGCACAATCTTCCACCACTTGTCCACGAAGGAGCTTCCTCTTACCACTTTTATTGATCATCACCACCACCACGACTCTCTGCTCGCTGCCTGTCCCCGTAGCTGGCAGCAGCAAAGATAGCAGCACCCCTTCTGCTGCTGCTGCTGCTGCTGAATACACCAACGAATTTGCCGTGCATATCAAGGAGTGCGATGACGAGGCCAGTTCCGCCGCCGTTGCCGACCAGCTGGCCGCCAAGTACGGCTTTGTCAACCACGGAAAGGTACGTTCTCTGTTCATTGCTACTACGATTAGCGATTAGGCATTACCACCACTATTGCCGCTATTGCTCTCGCTATGCCTCCGCTCTAACTCTTTCATTGCCTTCTTCTTCTTCTTCTTCTACTACTCTTCCACGCTCATTACGCCTCATTCATTGCCCTCAAAAATGAGAGCAGTGCGCTTATGAAACTGCCGTTAGCGTAGAGTAGACTTTAGAGCGTGCTTGAGTGTGTGTAATTGAATCTGACACTGATGATTTTCGGTGTCATCGATAGCGGCTCTCCTCAAAGGCAAGCGGCAGGAGATCATCACACTGCTTTGCCGTTTCTTTAGGCGGCCAGTTCTGCCACACTGTCTATCGCTAGTGATAGACTGATAGACAGCATCTGTTCTCTCTCTCTCTCTGTACAGTCTAGTCTAGTTTACTGCTAAACTGCTGGACTGTACTTTGTCTTCTTCTTCTTCTTCGTCATCATCAACTTCAACCTCTTCTTCAAAGTCAGCAAAGCCGCTGCCAGCTTCAGCTTGCTCAGCGGCGCTTTTTCTTTCTTCTCTTGAAGAAGTTGTCCTGTCCCTAATCAAATCCCCTCTGTACCGCCGCCGTTCACCGATTAGATCACTGAGCATCATCAGAGACAAAGAAGAAGTAGAAGTCCACCAGCACTGAAGAGGAGGTGCACAGGACCAGTGAAGTGGTGTGCTTGGATTTCCTTCAATCACACGGTGCAACTTCACTGAATGCGACTTGATTTCTTGATTGATAGCTTTCGTGCGATGAATCGAAGCTTTGATGGCGAAGATGTGAGCACGAATGATCACTTCACAGCCACCACCACCACCACCACCGCCACCATAACATCCGTCCACCGGCCTTGATTGGGTTACCCATACTTCTTTTTCTGCTTGCACCAGTATCTCTGCTGCTGCTTCAGCTCCAGTCTTTAAGCAGTGCTCTTAAGACTATCGCTCCTTGCCATCGCACTTTGAAGTGTTGGTAGTGCTTCTGCTTTTCCCCCTCTCTCCCTTTGATATCAGTAGTGGTAGATTTTATTGCCCTGTTGCAATTTTTGTCGTAATTTCCCCACCAGCGCGCGCGCCTAGACCGACTACAAGTACTGCTGGGCAACTTTTCTGTTGCTGCTGCCTATTATTACTGTTTGAATCTTCTGCCTGTTTCAGGCTTTCTTGCCTGAAGAGAGGAGACCACTTGCGCAAGTCAATTGGAACCAATTGCCATTGGCCACGCCGTTGTCCTGCCGCTGCTGTGCCAATTGGCACCTTGTCAGTCAGTGTGACAGTCAGACAGACAGTCGGACCAATAAAAATAAAACAGTGCAGTGCAGACCAGATTGTGTTTGACGAAGGCAGCAGCAGCAACAGCAACCACAGCAGTCAGACTTCAATCAATTTGGACGTGGTCGTCGTCGACTTCGACGACGCTTCACTGCTTTGGCAGTGACAGTGACAGTGGTGGTGGTGGCACAGAAAGAGAAAATGAAAAGTGAATGAGAGCCAGCAGCAACAGCAGCGACGACAATCAGCTAATTTGAAGAGAAGAAGTCCTGCAATTTTGCAAGTGGCGGTGGTGGTGGTGGTGTTCAAGCTCGACTACCTTTTTTACTCCTTTTTTACCTTTTGGCAGCCTCAGTAGCAGCAGTACTGTGTCTGTCCAGTGATAACGACTGCTTCAGCAGCAGCAGTCGAAGCAGGTAACATCACCATTGTGGCAAGACCTTCAGTGCTGTACAGCACAGAGAGAGCAGAGACACAGACAGACTTATTCACTCAGTGGCACCGACTTCATTGACAAAGACACTGTCGATGTTGAGAGAAAGTCTTACAATCACACATTCACTTCCCTTCTTTTTCTTTCTTTCAATCAGTGTGTGTGAGCGTGTCTCTGTTGCATCCCTTGTTAGCCTTTTTCATTATTTAACCTTTGCAAAAGTGCTGAGAAAGACACAGTGCGTTTGTACAAACACAGTAGCACTGGTAATGAAAAGTGGCGATGTCTGTGATTGAACAGCAGAAGCAGCAGCAACAGGCGCAATTGCCAATTACCTGGGATGAGGTGCACTCGCTGATGATAATGATTAGAAGTGCTGCTTCTGATGAAAACGAAGATGGTGATGCACTGTGTGGTGGTTGCCATTGAAGTGCTACTTGGAACTAGTGAGCAGTATAAGAAGTAGCCAGTGAACAACATCTTTGTCAATCACTGCTGCCGCTGCTGCTGCTGCTGGCAAGTGCCTGCTAATTGATTTTACAGTGCTGTGCTGCGCTGAACCTAACTTTGCAACTTTGTACTCACCTGGCAGTGAAACAATGCATCCCCCAAGTGCAATGTGCAAGAGAGGTATTCCTCCTCAGCAATTTCACTGGTAGTTCAGTTCTAATTCAGTACTGTAACTCCACTTTTGTCACCTACTTCTGACCAGCTGCTGGTCGTTGAATTGCTGTCCACACATACACTGCAGCCATTGACATTGGAGTAGCTTTTTGTTGCTTCCTCCTTATTGCCTGCCTCCCTCCTGCTAAAAAACTTGAAGGCAACTCCTGTGCGGCGTCGACCTTGACATTGGAAACAGGCGGCAGTAGTGTTCACTGTTCACTATTCAGTTCAGTGTTTCATTTCACCGCCGTACAGGGCCACCACCACAGCAGTGTAGCAGTATGTGAATTTGAAAGTGGCATAAAGGTGTCTGACTGAATGTGTGTAATATCGGCTGCCAATTAGTCAGCTTTTACCTGTTTGCTGTACCTGTGTACTAGATCAGTTCGTGCTCAGCAGTGAATGCAATATCTCACCTACCACCACCGGTCACAGAGCTTTTCTTCATTACAGAAGCTAACTAACTAACAAACTAACTAACTTACGCTGCTATCGCTTATTAGCGGCCTCTAATGTGCTGTTGCTATTTCGGTGGCCACTGTTTCTGTTCGTTGGCTGCTGCTTATGTCACCGCTGCTCTGTATAGGACTTCTGTGTATTCCCCCACCGCCTCACTTTGCTAATTTGTCAGCTGCACTACCTCTACTTCTTATCCACTCATTGTTACTCCTATTGTTATTATTTCCCCGCAGATTGGCAATCTCGACTGTCACTACCTGTTTGCACATCATCGGGTGAACAAGCGATCGACGGAGTACAGCCACGAGCACCACCGGGTGCTCGCTCAGGATGAACAGGTAAGGGGGAGAAGAGAAAAAAAGGAGACAGATGATGACTCACTACGGTAACGATTGAGCCGGGCTAATGACCGAACCGAGTGCTCGAACAGTGCGCAAATCAATGGCAGTGTGATTAGTGTGAACTTAATTTGGGAATAGCAATGATAATAATGAGGATGATGATGATGAGGTGCTCTTTGAGCTCTAATTCACGTTTTGTTTTTTGCACTTTACACAATTAGGTTCACTGGGTCGAGCAGCAGCGCATACTGAGGCGGCCAAAGCGTGACAATGGCAAATCAAAGTACCGTTACGGTCGATCGATGCCTGATCCCATCTACAAGGACATGTGGTACCTGGTGAGTGACTACACTGTGCACTGTGCACAATGCACTTTCCATTCATGCTAATCACCTGTTGCCTCTTTTTTTACCACTATGACTTATAGCGGAAAGGTGCTCTCGGCGGCTTTGACATGAACGTGGAAAGTGCCTGGAAGATGTAAGTGGCTCTTCTTTGGTAGTTTTGTGTTTGGAAGTATATTCTCATTACAATTTCTTCACATTCACAGGGGCTACACGGGGAAGAACGTCGTGGTGACCATCCTCGATGATGGCATTCAGCCGAATCACCCTGAGCTGGCGAAGAACTACGACCCCCTGGCGAGCTACGACATCAACGACAATGACCCCGATCCGACGCCGCAGGACAATGGGGACAACAAGCACGGCACGCGCTGTGCCGGCGAGGTGGCCGCAGAGGCCTACAACGGTAAGTGCTGGTTTGTGTTTTTTTGTGTTAATTTTTTACTTTAATTTGTTAGACTACTGCGGTGTGGGCATCGCCTTCAACGCGAGCATCGGCGGCGTGCGCATGCTGGACGGCATCGTCACCGACCAGGTGGAGGCGCGGGCGATTGGCCACAACCCCAACCACGTGGACATCTACTCGGCCAGCTGGGGCCCGGAGGACGACGGGAAGACGGTGGACGGGCCGGGGAAGCTGGCCAAGCGGGCATTCATTGACGGCATCAAGAAGGGAAGACGGGGCAAGGGCAGCATCTACGTGTGGGCGAGCGGAAACGGGGGGCGGCGGCTGGACAACTGCAACTGCGATGGCTACACGAACTCCATCTACACGTTGTCGATTAGCAGCGCCACGCAGAATGGCGCCAAGCCGTGGTACCTGGAGGAGGTAAAGTATTTGATTTTTGGTGGTTTTTTTGCATTTTGTTAGTGAGCTAATTTGTTACTACTAAAAACAGTGCTCCTCGACGCTGTCGACGACGTACAGCAGCGGCACGCCGGGCAAGGACGAGAACATCTTCACCTGCGACCAGGACACGTCGTACTTTGCCTCGCTGGGCCGCGGTGAGAAGCCGCAGAAGGACAGCCTGTGCACCAAGTCGCACACCGGAACTTCGGCCTCGGCGCCCATTGGTAAGCGTTTTTTAAAGTACCTAATGATAGGGAAAGCCTAATCATTCTCTTCCTCATCAGCCGCAGCCATCATCGCTCTGGCGCTGGAAGCGAACCCTCGCCTCAGCTGGCGCGACCTCCAGCACCTGGTGATGCTCTCCTCCCGCTACGAGCCCCTCCGCCACGAGAAGGGCTGGACGACCAACGGCGTCGGCCGCAAGGTGAGCCACAAGTTCGGCTACGGCCTGCTGGACGCCCAAGCGATCGTCCGCCACGCGGAGAAGTGGACCGCCGTGCCGGCGCAGCGCATCTGCGAGACGCCGGCGCACAACAAGGAGCGGGAGATACCGGCGAAGCTGCGCAACCAGCTGGAGGTGAGCCTGCTGACCAATGGCTGCCGCGGCGCGGCCAATGAGATTCGCTACCTGGAGCACGTCCAGGCGAAGATCACGCTGAAGTACCAGCCCCGGGGCAGTCTGAAGATCTCGCTCATCTCGCCGCTGGGCACCATCACCCACCTGCTGTTTCCGCGGCCGCGCGACACCGACGAGATCAGCTTCAACGCCTGGCCCTTCCTCAGCGTCCACTTCTGGGGCGAGCGGCCGGCCGGCCAGTGGCGGCTGGTGGTGCAGAACGACGGCCAGAAGTCGGCCGCCGTGCCGGGGAAGCTCTTCAGCTGGTCGCTCATCTTCTACGGAACGCTTGAGAAGCCCGTCAGCTACCTGTACAATGAGACGCTGCGGTACTTTCCGCGGAGCACGTCGCCCTCGGCTTCTTCAGTCGCCGGAGCAGGCTCACCAGGGAGCGGCGGAAGCGGCAACAACGAGTGCCTGGGCAAGGACATGTACCGCGCCTTTCAGTCGGAGGAGTGCCTGAAGGCGTGTCCCAGCCGGGGCCAGTGGGCCAACACCGACACCGCCACCTGTCAGCCCTGTGCCACCGTCTGTGATAGCTGCTTTGGCCCCAGCTCCGACCACTGCCTTAGCTGTCGGCCGGGCGGCCTCTTCTACGAGTACGAGTGCCTGGCGCGCTGTCCGGACGGCTTCTACGCCGACGGCCAGCTGAAGGAGTGTCTGCCCTGTGCGCCCAGCTGCGCCAGCTGTGAGGGCGCCGCCGGGCGGTGTCTGAAGTGCGCCGCCGGACTGGTCATGGACAATGGCAGTGGAAGGGGTGGTGGTGGGGATGCTGCTGCTGCTTCCGCTGCCGGAAGATGTGTTCCCAAGGCAAATGTGGTGGTGGTGGCGACGATGGGCAACAGTTCTGCCTATGAGTGCAGCGAAGGCTGTCGGGAGTGCCGCGGCCCCCGCCGCAATGACTGCCTCCGTTGTGTGGCCGAGCTGAAGCTGCTCAATGGAAATTGCATCGACGACAACTGCCCGGACGGCTTCTACCTTCGGGACAGTACCTGTTTTAGGTAAGTGGAGGCGTTTAAATTTGATTTTTACTAATTTTAATAATGATATTCCTGTTCCTCCCCCCCCCTTCCACAGCTGCCACCACAGCTGCCGCGTCTGCGAGGGCCCCTCGCACATCAACTGCCTGTCCTGCCACCGGAACGCCACCCTGGTGAATGGGACCTGTCACTTCTGCCTGGAGGGGCACTTCATGAACCGGGACAGCCGCCGGTGCGAGGCCTGCCACGCCTCCTGCTCCACCTGCAGCGGCCCCCTCGCCAGTGACTGCCTCACCTGCCGGGGCGGCCTCTTCATGGACAACTGGCACTGTGTGCCCTGCTGTCTGGAGGGTGGCACTTCCGGCTCTTCATCCTCGCCCACGCTGGCGCCCGAGTTCACCGACTGCTGCCAGTGCCTGGGCGCCCAGGGGCCGTGCGCCTCCTCGCTGGCCATTGATCGGCCGAGAAGTGTGGACGCCGCGGCGGCGGTGGGCAGCTTTCGGGAGCAGCTTCGTCCGGCGCTTCAGTCGTCCTTCTTCTCAAGAGACAGGGAAGCTCACCCTTCCTCCTTATCCGCCTACTACTCCTCCTCCTTTTCCCGTCTGCTCAATCAGACGGTCACCTATCTGGTGCTGGCGGCGGTGATGCTCTCTGTCGCCCTGGTCCTCATTGGTCGCCGTCGAAGGTGGTGGTGTTCGAGTGGTGGTGGTGGTGAAGGGGGTGGTGGCGGCGCCAAAGGCAGGCGGAAACGTCTGCCCGGCAGTCCCTACAACATTGACTACCAGAAGCTGCTCAATCCCAACGGCTACTCCGGTGCTTCCTCCTCCTCCTCCTCCTCCTCAAGGCGGCACAATCGACTGAAAAAGCAGCTGTTTGATAAAGAGGGAAAAGGCGGGCTCGAGTACGAGCAGTACCGAATTAATGAGGAGGAAGATGAGGACGGTGCCTTTGCCGACGACACCGAGGATGACGACGAGGAGGTGATGCTTTTTGAGAAGACCTGAGGACAGCCCCCAACTTTTCTCTTTTCTAGTCTGTTTTCAAATTATCCCCTTTTCCTCTTTTCCCACTCCCCTCTCTTGACCAATGACTCTGCTCTCTCTCTCTCTCTCTCACTTGATTTTTTGTGTTTGGTACTCTCTCTCTCTCTCTCTCTCTCTCTCTTTCTCACTCTCTCTTTCTCTTTATCAGCTGGTCGGCTGACTTGTGAAGCATTTTATGATAATTAAAAATAAAATATTTTTTGTTACTCTTGATTGTTACCCTACTTTAGTGCAGGTTGATCGTGTGTTTTGCCAAGTTCAGCCAACAGACACTAGATGGCAGCAGGAGTTCTACAAAATTTATTTTCCTGGTTTTCTGAACACGAGAAAAATAAAATTCACGGGCAATTTTTTGACGCCACTTGCAAGATGGCGATGATGGTGGCGTTCCTAGCGGACAACACCGGAAACTACTCGCTTTTAATGATTAATTTTGTACATTTTTCAAAGAGGCGTTTCTTGAGTCTAGAGCATCGTAAAATAATGAAATTTGCTTTGAATGAAAGCTAAAGACTTGTTTCACAGTTTGTGTGTAAAATAAATTGGTTTTAGCAAGTGTTTTGTTTTTAAATCTAGTTTTAAAGTTTTAAATACTACTTTTACTTTATCAAAACTTGTCAAAACCAATTTATTTTACACACAAATTGTGCACCAAGTCTTTAGCTTTCATTTAAAGCAACTTTGAGTTTCTGCGACGTTCCAGGCCCAAGAAACGCCTATTTAAAAAATGTACAAAATTAATCATTAAAAGCAAGTAGTTTCCGGTGTTGTCCGCTAGGAACGCCACCATCGTCGCCATCTTGTAAGTGGCGTCAAAAAATTGCCCGTGAATTTTATTTTTCTCGTGTTCAGAAAACTAGGAAAATAAACTTTGTGGAACCCCTGGCGCCATCTAGTGTCTGTCGGAAAAACACTGAAAACAAAGCCGACGGGACTGCACCAAAGTAAGGTAATTTAGGAACAATAAATGGATTTCTTTTGCAACAAAATTCTAACCAGAATATTCTATATTCAAAATATTAGCTGGGCCAACATAAACAAAAACATGTCTTTTTTATTTTACCTCCTCCT